TGTGTCACAATGGGACAGTTAGTACTACGGTACCGTTACACACCTGAACTTGGCAAGTCAATGAAAACCAGCAATGAAAGCGCTGAGCTAACACGGTGCACGAGGTACAGACACAAAAACAACGAAAACCACGAAGGTTTCCTCCTAAAGATTGTAATGATGCTGCTGACTCAGCAGCTCAAACATGACTCAGGGCTCCAGCAGGTCAAACTGACTGTAACACAGCTCATACAACAGACGTAAACACGTTTAATGACTTCAATATTTAGACACAAGTGCACAGACTAAGTCAAAGTAAGTCTGCAGTGTCATTCCATTCTCTAATTTATTGGTTGAGTGTTTTTGCTTTCACTTCTCACACCGGTTTTATAAATGCAAAACACTGTGCTGCCGAGTCCGATTTGTTTATTCCACGTCATGTAAAACAGGCTGACGAGGAGAAAATGGTTCAAGTCCCTCATGGAGCTCGGGCAGGAAAAAGCAGAGCGTTTGGTGACGAGCAGCATCCTGACAGACGGAACCCAGCTCCTCCAGAACAAAGCACAAGGCCTCAGCCATGTTCTACCTGCAGAACACTGTCACAAGGTCTTCAATTAGAAGTCCTTTTTGTTGACTGTTTATTTTTACATGGTACATTTTGCATGTTTCTTCACATTTTTTAACACTATTTAACAATGTATATTTCCCTCATTGTAAGATTTTAATAAGCTTTCATTGTTCTGTAAAATCACAGATTTTCTAGATATAAAAGTCAGTTTTACACAATAGATTTTATTACCTCTAAAAGATTTTTAGTATGTTTCCGTATTTATGTAAATAGATTTCATATATATATATATATATATATATATTTTTAGATCTACAACTGTAAACTGCATGTTTTACATTTTTAACACTATATTTTTATATGACCATTAGTATATTAGTTTGTATTAATTCTGTGAATAGATTTTATAAATATTTCTCATATATGCACCAGTCCTTTTTGCACACCGTATATTCTCCACTTTAGATTTTTGCACACTGTGCTTTTTATGAAACATATTTTACAAATATTTCACATTATTTCTGGTATGTTTTAGTACTTCTGAGTAGATTTCATATGGAGATTTTTAAAAAAACAAATTTTTTTCATACATTGTTTTTTCTCATTCAGCATTTTTGCAGACAACTTTTTTATGATTATTTTTACTGTCTGCAAACTGTATTTGGCACGCTGCATATCTTCTTTCATTATATTGTCTTTTACATTTTATCACTCTTGGAATATTTTACATGACACATTATGAATATTTTACTACATCATTTTAAGTCATTTTATTACCTGTGTGAACAGAACTTCCAATGAGTTATTGAGATATACAAGCCATTTTGTACACACACACACACACACACACACATATATATATATATCATTTTATTTGTATTTTTTTTACACTGCGTGTGTTTACATTACGTTTTTGTTGTTGTTGTTTTTTAACATTTTACCACACTGTACATCCTAAATAACTGAATATTTTTCCTGTTAATCAGTGTCTCTGAGCACTGAGGAGCAGAAGTCTGTTCATTATTTTCCATAATTGCTATGCTAACAGACAGAAACAACCCTGCTAACTGTAGGACAATGTCCACAGCTCTTGTGAATGATGCCACCGGACACACAGAAACCAAACATCCGTCATTCCCTCAGAGCAGCTGTGGGAGCTGCCCGGACCATGAAGCCTCCCCGGCGTACTCACAGGATCCAGGCAGACGTTCAGCATGCACGTCTCGCAGGCCAGCAGGCTGCAGCCCAGAGCCGTGGTCAGAGCCAGCGTGTCGTTCAGCTCCTGAGGCACGGCGGCCCAGGCGCTTCCGGTCGGCGCCGGTACGAGGCTCCACTGCATCCAATCCATGACTAACACAGCAACAAACGGCCAGTATCTCCACATGCGACCCACATCGTCCGCCTGAAGCGCTAAGCGGCTGCTCCCAGTCAAGCCGCCGCCGCGCCTCTCCAAGTCATCCTGGCCGCGCTCTGCCTGCCGGGTCGACTCCACAGATGTGATGACAGCGCTGAGGCTGCCCCGGTGGGCTCGGCTGACGTTGCAGAAGCTGACTGGCTGTCTCGCTCCCGCTGAGCATCCGTCGCTGCTTTCTGTTTTGTCGCCGTTGCACTGAGTCATTCTCCAGCACGGCGCTGGAGCCGCACACCTCAGCTCGAGTGAAGCCTGCTCCACTGGTCCACACGCATAATCAAGCCTGAAGCGTGGCTAAAATTACAGCAGCCTCCTGAGTCCTGGTTTCAATAGATTAGTCTGCTAACGAGCTGAGAAAGGCAGGCTGAGAAACAGTTCAAAAAGTGGCGAGTTCAGTGAAGGAAGAGAGACTGGAAGGAGTTCAGAGAAAGAAAGAGGGAGATAATCCTGCCAGGGTCACATTTCAAAAACCATGGCATCCAGGAAGCGCCTGGCCAGACAAACACTCCCCCACCGACGCTCATAATCCAGCCTGCACTAATGTCCAACTCCCACTCCTGTCTGAGCCGCTGCCATAGAAACTGCTGCTGACATCACCACGTGTGCATGTTCTGGGCATCGCTTGACCTTTCAAAATTTTAAAATGTTCCCTTTCTTCACGGAGGAGGAAAAGGTTAGCCGCCTCCCTGATTGAGGGTGTATTCTGGGAGGAAACGAGAGGATGTGATTCATCACGAGCGGCGGACAGAGACGAGTTATTGCCGGTGTGGCGGCGGGGCGGCCGGCGAGGAGCTGCTTTACTGCTTCAGACAGACAGCAGACATGGCCGGGTCCTTCAGACGGACCAGAAACAGCTGAATGTGGACTCCTCTGTCCGACAGAGCTGAGCAGCATCAGACCGGCGTCAGGCCAGGACGTCACCAAAACAAGCCTCAGCTGATGAAGCATTCTGGTTCAGTTCTAACAGAAAAAACTGCAAAAATCCAGCAGCAAAAGAAAAAATGTTGAACTGCACAAATGGTGCGAGTGAGAGCAAAGATCTGTAAACACATTCAGCTGATTAAACACAGTGAACTGACGCCTGTCAGGCTACGACTGACCAACAGGAACCATTCAGAGAGCTTCAGGTGAACTGCAGCCGGTGTGTCCTCAGAGAGACTGAAGGAGAATCCATCCTACTGGATCAATGAATAGATGCAGCACGGATCAGAACCAGAGACCAGAGGAGCTGGTTGGTGGAGATACATTCAGCTGATGGTGGAACATCTTTCTACTGATGCTGGAACATCTTCTACAGCTGCTAAGTTTAGCTCTTTGCTGTCGAGTTCACTTGTTGGAGCTACTGAAGCTACTTGCCATTCAAGGGTCAAAACTGCAGAAGAATCATCATGAACATCATACCAGGCTGCTAGCAGTGCAAACTAAACGCTGACAACACGTGAGCTGCACTTCAACATCTGTAGCAGGCTCGTACTGCATCGACGGCACCGTTAGATGCTTAAACTGCAATAATGAACTGTGTGAATCTGTTCAGTATCACCTGGACCTAAGATGAGCAGCTGCACGAGGACGGCTGTATTCATTTTATTACTTGAACCCTTCAGAGAGTCCAGAAGTGTCCGGTGGGTTTCTGGCTGCACCACTGACTGGAACGTGGCTCTGGTTCTGCCTCCATATTCTGGATTACTTCTGCAGCACAGCGTTCTCCTACCTGCTGACCAACTGCAGCCCGGCCCTGACGGCAACATTCCCAACATGACGGGGATCCGATCCCAGCCGGAGCCCCTCTTTCCCTCCAGCTCGTGTCCATAGCTGATGAGATTAAACCGGCGCAGCTATAAATAGGTCGTGTTTCGGTTTGTGGTGCGTTTCTAACACATATGTGAGCAGCATATGGTGCGTCGCTCTGCTTCTCCGTTTGTCAATAAGGAATGAGCTGGAACCAAGGGTTTGGTAGCACCACATGGCTGCTGGTACGCCGGCACCGGTTTGGATTTGAGGCCAAACCAGACTGAGATAACAGAAATAAATGCTTACACGACTGACATCAGCTGCAGCGACTTCCTACAGACAGCGCATCCGAGCTCAGTTACATATTTCAGTATTTCCCAGTCAAACGCTCCATAACGAGTGATTCTCCAGCTTTCATCATGTTCTGCGGTCAGAAACGAGCCGCCTCGGTGCCGGGTCCATCTGCTGTGTGTTTCAGATTCAACAGCAGCTTCCACACCTACAGACCTCCGTAAGGCCACAGATAAACACCATGTGCAGGTGCACAGGCAGAGCGACCTTCATGACGTACTGATGGAACATCTGATACGATTTCTCCACCTTCGCTCAGGACAGCTTGATTTAATGCACGTTCAGCCCTGCAGCAGTACTTTGGTTCTGACCTCCCACCAGGCCTGGACGGAGACCGGCAGCCTGAACCCACTGGACTCCACCAGGGGAGCTCGCCCCTTCCTTTTCACTGCCAATCTTCTTTCCAATCTCGAGAGTGTGCAAATGACAACGGAAAAAGACAGCAGCCTCTTTCCATTTCCTAGTTGTGGAGCTCTCAGGAAAAATAACCTTTTCTCCGCCTGAAGGCCATCCGATTACTTCTTGCCCATTTCCTCGGCTGCACATTCTTTCCTATTGGAAGAGGCTGATTGAAAGCCATCATGAAGACAGAACCCTGTGCTTGTTTTGTGTTTCGGTTCAGTTCCCCTGAAGTGGCTGCATCTGTGCCTCGCCGTGCCGAGGAAACCCACACTCCTGCCAGAGGAAGCCTGAAGTCTGAGTACCAGCAGGACGAGGACGGGTTTCAGCTGAAAACACAGAAGCAGTGGATCTACAGAGACATCTGAGGAGAAACCGTTCAGCGCCTCCAACAGGTCGTGGTTGACTCACGTGGAGAAAGTCGATGTGTGGCAAACTAAGACTTGAAACGTGCTGATAAACATTTTGAACGTGTTAAAATAAAGCAACATCATCATGGATCTGTTTAGCCAGCGGGTTTCAGAAGCGTCTCATCTTCATCTCTTTATTTAAAAATGGAAAAAAACTATTCAACCATTTATCTGAGCCAGAAGCTGTAAAACCAGAAACCATGAGTGACACGTCTCAGGAAAATGACCCAAATCTATTCTGAAAACCATTTAATTCTACAGGTTGCATTAAAAATGTCTTCATAAACAAACTAAAAATAATCCAAAATAACTCCAGAGTCAGTTTCTGCTGAACTGCAGGCAGTGTTTCTGAGCACCAATAGATAAATGCAGCATGGATCAGAACCAGAGAACAGAGG